TTAAAAGTAGATTGTTAATGGTTTCCTGACTGTAAACAGTGTGACACTTTGCCATTTTAAAAACACCAGGACATTCTTTGGGCCATAAGCATTCAGTCATTTTGCAAATCCTCAGCACCCTGATACTTTGCTGATTTCATAAGAATATTGGTATCCTTTGCAGATTTCAGTATATGTAATTTTCATCAGCATTTATATATATATATACTCCTTATTTGCATAATAATTTGCATGTGCATTTATTTTTCTAATACCATTTTAATAAAATTCTCACACGTTTAGTGAAATAGGTGTTAAATTTAAACTATAAAAGTGTGAAATCTGAATTTTCTGATAATGGAAACTGAGAGTGGTTAAGTTTGAAAGTGCTGAACTTATCCAGATCCCACAGCATGGAGGTGTACAAAAAACAAAGGCCTTTAATTTTTTTTAGTTTATTTTTTATAAAAGCCTGCAAACATCACCTCATTGTAAATACTTGCCATTCAAAATGACTATTTCCTATCTGCTAGCAAATATTCCATCCATTTACACATACATTACCAGTTATCCCATGTGTAGTCAACTTTGAAAATCAGTCTTGTGTGAGGAGGGAAGTTTGTGAGGCAGTGGATGGAATGAAAGTGAGTAAAGCAGCTGGGATTGATGGGATAAAGATAGAAATGTTAAAAGCATATGGGAATATAGTTTTGGAGTGGTTGCTCTTTTATTTAAATGTATGAAAGAAAGTAAGGTACCTAGGGATTGGCAGAGAGCAAAGGGGACACAAGAGAATGCAAAAATTATAGGGGAATAAGTCTGTTGAGTATGCCTGGCAAGTATATGGGAGAGTTGTTGTTATTGAAAGAATTAAGAGTAAGATGGAGTAAGTAAGAAGATGAACAAGGAGACTTTAGGAAGGGTAGTGTGTGTGTGTGTAGACCGTGTTATAGTAAAAGATATAGATGAACAGTATCTAGATAAGGGTATAAAGGTTTTTGTTGCTTTATGGATTATGAAAAGGTGTATGACAGGGTGGATAGGGGGGCAATGTGGCAGATGTTGCAAATGTATGGAATAGGAGGTAGGTTATTGAAGCAGTGAAGAGATTTTACGAGGATGGTGAGGCTCGGGTTAGAGTATGTAGGAGAGAGGGTGAATTATTTCCCAGTAAAAGTGGCCTTAGACAAGGATGTGTCATGTCACATTAGTTGTTCAATATATTTATAGATGGGGTTGTAAGAGAAGTGATTACTCAAGTGTTGCAAGACATTTGGGTTAAGAGATAAAGAATCCTACACAGTGGGAGTTGTCACAGTTGCTCTTTGCTGATGACACTGTGCTTTTGGGATTTCTGAAGAGAAGTTGCAGAGGTTGGTGGATGAGTTTGGTAGAGGTATGTAAAAGAAGAAAATTGAAAGTGAATGTAGAAAGAGTAAGGTGATGAGCATAATAAAAAAAATTAGGTAACGAAAAGATTGGATATCAGGTTGGAGAGAGAGAGTATGGATGAGGTGACTGTATTTCAGATATTTAGGAGTGGATGTGTCAGCAGATGGGTCTGTGAAAGACGAGGTGAATCATAGAATTGACAAGGGGAAAAAGGCGAGTGGTGCACTGAGGAGTCTGTGGAGACAAAAATCTTTGTCCAGGGAAGCAAAGAGGGGAGTGTATGAGAGTATAGTTATACCAGTGCTCTTATATGGGTGTGAAGCATGGGTGGTGAATGTTGCGACAAGAAGGCTGGAGGCAGCGGAGATGTCATGTCTGAGGGCAATGTGTGGTGTGAATATAATGCAGAGAATTCATAGTTTGGAAATTAGGAAGAGGTGCGGGATTACCAAAACTATTATCCAGAGGGCTGAATAGGGATTGTTTAGATGGTTCAGACATGTAAAGAGGATGGAACAAAATAAAGACCCTGAGAGTGTGTAAATCTTTAGTGGAGGGAAGGTGGTGTAGAGGTCAGCTAGGAAAGGTTGGAGGGAGGGGTAAAGGAGGTTTTGTGTGCGATGGCTAGACTTCCAGCAAGCATGCGTGAGCATGTTAGATAGGAGCAAATGGAGATGAATAGTTTTGTGACTTAACATGCTGTTGGAGTGTGAGCAGGGTAATATTTATGAGGGACTCAGGGAAACCGCAGGCCAGACTTTATTCCTGAAGATGGAAGTACAGTGCCTGCACTCTGAAGGAGGGGTGTTAATGTTGCAGTTTTATAACTGTAGTGTAAGCATGCCTCTGGCAAGACAATGATGGGAAACAGCTGATGAGTTAATAAAAATAAAACCTGCAAACATCACCTTCATTGTAAATACTTGCCATTCAAAATGACTATTTCCTATCTACTAGCCAATATTCCATCCACTTATACATTACAGGTCCGCCATCACAAATCCGGCAATCAGTTATTCGGTTCCTTCAGTTATTTGGCACTAATTTCGGCTAGCATAATTTCAAATTTCCAGGGGGAGCACACCAACCTGCTGGTACTGTTTGGTGGTGCTACTTGCTGCACAAGTCATTCTAATTTTTTTCTCCATTTATTGTTATAACCTGCTTACTTTTAGCTAGTCATGGTTCCAATGAATAAAAAAAAAAATGCTTTTCGTTGTGTAAAGCACCTATACAGTACATTGTCCATTAAAGATAGGTGGCTTTGAAGCTACTGTTGGTTGCTATGAGCTCAGTCTTGTGATGCAGGAGAATATGCTTTATTATTATGTTAATATCAACACTACAGGTTATTGCCTATCACAATTGATCTAATATGACATAATAAACAATATAAATAACGTAAAGCGTGTTAAATACTCCAGAATGAATAATATTTGGCATAATACAGAGCAGTTCGACGGAGGTATGAAGAGGATACGAGACACAAGTACCATTCTCCTATCCCTGTCTTGGAGCTTATATTAGAGAGAAACGGAGTGTAGCACAGGGCTAACTGTGATATACACTCATACTGCACCATAAACCTGAAACAAAAAAGCTATTTTCTCTATATAGATTACCACACAGCATGTGTGTCGAGAACCTAGGATAACACAAAAAAGTCAGACAACGTGGCTTATTTCTAGTACCTGGCTTGGGTTAGCCATATATGATATTTGGTAAATATTCGATTTCCAGCCAGGGTAGAAACATTGGGTTGTGTTTCTTTACACGTGTTGTCTATGTTCACACCATCAGTAAATGGGTACCTGAGTGTTAGTCGACTGGTGTGGGAGTTATCCTGGAACACTGACCTAATTTGCTTGAAATACTTAGCATAACAAGTGGCTTTCCATATAGTAGTGTCACTGATGTCAGCTGTCTGTATCCCATGTACATGTAGTAAATTATTATTATTATAATTATTTTCTCATTTGTTTGTTGGGTTATCTTACTGAAACTTGGGCAATGTATGATGGAAAGATATTTCTTAATGTACACCAAAAATGAAAGAAATTAGATCATAAATAGCAAAGTTCGCTTCTCAGCCATTAGCGGGCCACTCAGCGGTATATTTTTTGTATGATTTTTATGGTTATATTCTCGATTTTTG